CCCTCAGGCCCCGCCTCCATGCCCAGGTGTGCCCGGGGCTCACCTGTCGGAGCTGGGCTGGGCCCTGCTGCACTACCTGTCCTTCTGCCAGCGCGGCTCCTTCTCGCGGCTGGCGCGGCTGCAGCGGGAGCGGGCGGCGCTGCCCATCGCCCGATACCGGAGTGAACTGGTGGCACTGGTGGCCCAGCACCAGGTGCTGGTGGTGGCGGGGGACACGGGCTGCGGCAAGTCCACCCAGGTGCCCCAGTACCTGCTGGGCGCCGGCTACGGCCAGGTGTGCTGCGCCCAGCCCCGGCGCGTGGCCTGCGCCGCCCTGGCGCGAAGGGTGGGGCTGGAGACCCTCGGCAGGTACCAGGTGAGGGGCATTGGGGGCACTGGGAGGGCACTGGGAGGCACTGGGGAGGGACTGGGACCTGCCCAGGTGTGCTGCGCCCAGCCTCGGCGCGTGGCCTGCGCTGCCCTGGCGCGAAGGGTGGGGCTGGAGACACTCGGCAGGTACCAGGTGAGCGCGAACTGGGAGAACTGGGGGCACTGGGAGGCACTGGGAGGGGACTGGGAGGGCACTGGGACCTGTCCAGGTGTACTGTGCCCAGCCCTGGTGCGCAGGGTGGGGCTGGAGACCCTCGGCAGGTACCAGGTGAGCGCGAACTGGGAGAGCTGGGGGCACTGGGAGGGACTGGGAGGGCACTGGGACCTGTCCAGGTGTGCAGGGCAGGGCTGGAGACCCTCGGCAGGTACCAGGTGAGGGGCGCTGGAGGTACTGGGAGGAGACTGGGAGGGACTGGCACCTGCCCAGGTGTGCAGGGTGGGGCTGGAGACCCTCCGCAGGCACCACGTGAGCACCTGGCTGGGGGTACTGGAAGGGACTGGGAAGGACTGGGAGGTGCTATCAGGTCCAGCCAGGTGTGCTGGGCATCACCTGTGCCAGGTGTGTGGCCATGGAAAACCTCCCCAGGTACCAGGTGAGCACCTGGCCGGGGGCACTGGGAGCGCTGGGAGGGACTGGGGAGGGGCCATCACCTGCCCAGGTGTGCCATGCCCACGCCCCCTTTTTCCCTCTCCCCCAGGTGGGTTTCCAGACGCGTTTCGAGCGCACCTGTGCCCGCGGCGCCCACCTGGTGTTCGTGACGCTGGGGCTGCTGCTGCGGCAGGTGCAGAGCGACCCCACCCTGGCCAGGTACCAGGTGCTGGTGGCCGACGAGGTGCACGAGCGTCACCTGCCCGGGGACCTTCTGCTGGGGGCCCTGCGGCGCCTCTTACCTGCGCGCCCCACCCTGCGCCTGCTGCTCATGTCGGCCACCTGCGACCCCCACCTGTTCGCCAGGTACTTCGGGGGAGCCCCCGTGCTGCAGGTGCCCGGCCGGCTCCACCCCATCAAGGTGAGTCTGCCCGCTCGGCCCCGGGGCTCACCTGGGCGCACAGGTGAGCTACCTGCCTGCACCCCACCTCACCTGTCCACACAGGTGATCTGCTTGCTCTCCCGTGCTCAGGTGATCTACCTGCCCCTCACCTGTACTCAGCTGTGCTCACCTGTGCTTAGCTGTGTCCTCAGCTGAGCTCACCTGTACTTAGCTGCGCTCACCTGTGCTCACCTGTCCTCACATGTCCTCACCTGTTCACGTGTCCTCACCTGTGCTCACCTGTGTCCTCACCTGTCCTCCCCTGTGCTCCCCTGTGCTCACCTGTGCTCCCCTGTGCTCACCTGTCTTCACCTGTGTTCACATGTCCTCACCTGTGCCCACCTGTGCTCAGGTGCTGTACCAGCCCATCCCCTCGGAGCCGGGGCAGCCTCACCTGCAGGGCCATACCTGTCCCTCACTTGTATGCTCCCATGTGCTCACCTGTGCTCACCCGTGTGCCCACCTGTGTGCCCCCCTGTGCTCACCTGTGGTCCTCTGTGCTCACCTGTGCTCACCTGTGTGCTCCCCTGTCCTCACCTGTGTGCTCACCCGTGCCCACCTGTGCCCACCTGTGCGCAGGTGCTGTACCAGCCCATCCCCTTGGAGCCCAGGCAGCTCACCTGTGTGCTCCCCTGTGCCCTCCTGTGCTCCCCCATGCCCACCTGTGCCCACCTGTGTACAGGTGCTGTACCAGCCCATCCCCTCAGAGCCGGGGCAGCCTCACCTGGACGCGGGGCCGTACCTGCCCCTCACCTGTGTGCTCCCCTGTACTCACCTGTGTGCTCACCTGTGTTCCTCTGTGCTCACCTGTGCTCACCTGTGCCCACCTATCCTCCCCTGTGCTCACCTGTGTGCTCACCCGTGCCCACCTGTGCCCACCCGTGCCCACCTGTGCGCAGGTGCTGTACCAGCCCATCCCCTCGGAGCCGGGGCAGCCTCACCTGGACGCGGGGCCGTACCTGCGGGTGCTGGAGGCCATCGACGGGCGGGTCCCACCTGAGGAGCGCGGGGACGTCCTGGTTTTCCTCAGCGGGGCCGCCGAGATCCAGCAGGTGCTGGGCCCCGCCCAGGTGTACGCCCGCCACACCCAGCGCTGGGTTGTGCTGCCCCTGCACAGCGGCTTACCTGCCGAGCAGCAGGACAAGGTGAGGCTGGGAGGGGTCACAGGTGTGT